GGAATATTCCCTCGACGCCCAAGCCGTTAGAAGAAGCCGAAGACTACAAGGACTAGAACCTCAAGAAAACATCGCTATGGTCAAGCAAGAGACACAGACAAAAATGGGTGAGTACCACTTTCAACCTTTTAGAAACCCTTCTATTTTTACTGGAGAACGCAACCAGAATCCAGAAAAATGGTTGAAAGAATTTCATCGCGTCGCTCGCTACAACTGCTGGGATGATTCAATGTGCCTCGCAAATGTTTATTTTTTTCCTCCAAGGAACAGCGCACAGATGGTACGAAAATGTTGAAGAGAAAATTAATTCATGGGATATTTTTGTGAAAATGTTTTCTCAGAATTTAGGACATCATGTCACCCAAAAAGATCAGCTCGCATAGAACCTCAAAACTCGAGCTCAGGGGAAGGAGGAGACAAGTGATTCCTACATTCAAGATGTTCTCCATCTGTGCAGAGAAGTGAATCCGGCTATGATGGAAAATGAAATAGTCGCACACTTGACGAAAGGAATATCGGAGGAGATATATCAGTCAATAATCATTTTAGACATTGCAACTATCTATGAATTCATCAAATGGTGCCGAAAAATCGAGGCTTCAAATAAAAAACGTGTAAATGAACGTGTAGTATTCGACAGACTACCGAATGTTGCCGCCATCGTTTCAGCAGACTCTGAATCAATGGAAGACTTAATCCGACGCATCGTACGTGAAGAAGTTCATCGCGCACTAAATCCGGAGTCAACTACCCCTGAACCATCTTCTCTGAAAGAAATTATCCGAGAAGAGATTGAAAAAAACGTAGCTGCAATTTCGAAGCCTATTCAAAGGCCATGCCACGACAGTCGTACCCCAACCAGACACGTACATTCAACCAGGTTCCACGACGTCAGTACCCTATCCAAACGCCCATATATAATCAGAGGCCACCACAACGAAGAACGGATGAATGGAGGACGCATGGCAACATCCCAATATGTTTTAATTGCGGCCGCCCAGGCCATGTTAAGCGATATTGTAGAGAACGCCGACAATGGCGGCAGAGACCCAAAGGACATGCACCAAGCACCCAAGAACCTCAAATGGGTAACCACCAAGCCATAAGAAGCCAAATCTACCGCAGACAATCGCCGTATCCAAACAGAGGAAGATCCCCAAGACGCCAGTCCATTTCCCCAGGCCGCCATACAAGCCAATCCCCACGACGCTACAATCTAGAAAAAACTAAGCGTCGCGTCTTCTTTCGAGGGGGAAGCCGCGGGTGTGAAAAACCCTCCATCGTCGACAGCCGCTAAATTACAACAAAATTATGTCGAAATCATCATTGATGACATTGCATTTTCTGCTCTGGTCGATTCAGGTTCCTCTTTTTCAGTTATCTCTGATGGATTAAGACGACAATTAAAAAATACCATGTTCAAGGATAGCGGAATGACTCTGAAAGTTGCTGATGGCAATAATGTTACATCGATCGGCCGATGCACAATCAGCTTGAGCATCAATGGATTGGAACAGCCGCTTGAGTTTATCGTCCTCCCTAATAGTAACCCAAGTATTATCCTCGGATGGGATTTCCTAGAGGCATCAAATGCCGTGATTGATTGTGGACGCGCCGAAATCAGTTTGGAAGAGGCCAAAGATGTACTAAATTCACCAGCTTCTATGGGAAAGGTTGTGGCAAGCAGAAGCGTCGTAATCTCAGCCGAATCTACCAAACTAATAAATGTTATGAGTGAAGAGCTTAATGGGAAAAATCAGGTACTTTTTGAACCTTCGAAAAAGGTATTAATAGGAAAAGGGTTAAAACTTCCCTGTGCATTATTCAGGCTTTCCCATAATAAAGGAAAACCTTGGATCGTAAATTCTAGCACCAAAGCTCAAATAGTCTCTAAGGTAATGTGCCTGGGAAAAATTCAAAGAGTTGAAGAAAATAACTTGACGGCTATTTCAGAATGTTCTGAATTTAATAAGGAGGTGAAAAATGCGAATCATGCCAGTCATGCTGATAAAAGTGACTTTATATTTTTACAAAATTTAATTAGTGATGATTTATCAGAAGAGCAGCAGTCTCAAATCTTATCAATTTTAAAACGATATGATAAAATATTTGATAAAAATAATGAACCAGTAAAGCAAACTTCAGTAACCAAACATAAAATTGAAACTGGAAACCATCAGCCTATTAAGCATAGATCATATCGAGTCTCCCCTACAGAACGCCAAGCAATCCAAATGGAAGTGGACAAAATGCTAAACGCCGGGATTATACGTCATTCAGAAAGTCCATGGTCATCGCCGGTTATTTTAGTAAAGAAGAATGATGGTAACTGGCGTTTCTGTGTGGATTACAGACGACTAAACAAAGTTACTAAAAAAGACGTTTACCCACTACCCCGAATCGATGATACACTTGACTCACTGAAAGGAGCCAAATTTTATTCATCAATGGACCTTCGTTCAGGATATTGGCAAATAGAAGTCGACGAAGCAGATAGAGAAAAAACTGCCTTTATTACCCCTGACGGACTCTACGAATTCCTAGTCATGCCCTTTGGCCTGTGCAATGCCCCTGCAACATTCGAGCGCATGATGGACAAGATATTGAAAGGCCTGAAATGGACGATGACCCTCTGTTATTTAGACGACATCGTGGTGTATTCCAAATCGTTCAACGAACATTTACACCGGCTTGAAACCATACTACAATGTCTCGACAAAGCCGAGCTACGCCTCAACCCAAAAAAGTGCCTTTTCGGAACCAAACGAATCAGAGTGTTCGGACACCTCGTCGATAGTAAAGGTATTTATCCCGATCCAGAAAAGATTGAAGCTATCGCCAAGTTTCCTACCCCAAAATCTATAACAGATGTGAGAAGCTTCATTGGCCTATGTTCCTATTATCGTAGATTTATCGAAAATTTTGCTGAGAAAGCTGCTCCTCTACACGAAGTCCTCAAAAAAGATAATAAATTCACGTGGAACTCTGACCAACAGGATGCTTTTGATTCCTTGAAAAAAGCATTGATGTCGAACCTGTTCTTGCCTATTTCGAAGAACAACTGCCAACCGAGCTTTATAATGACGCCAGCGGTTATGGAATTGGAGCTGTCCTCGTACAGATCAACGATGGGAAAGAGCGGCCAGTTGGTTATGCTTCAAGAACTTTATCTAAGGCGCAGAAGAATTACTCAACGACGGAAAGAGAATGCTTGGCCGCAATATGGACCATCAACAAATTTCGACCGTACCTTTTTGGTCGTGAGTTTGTCGTCGTCACCAACCACCACGCTCTTTGCTGGTTATCAAACCTGAAGGACCCGACAGGAAGACTAGCAAGATGGGCTTTAAAACTCCAATAATACAATGTAACGGTTGTTTATAAAAGTGGACGCAAACACCAAGATGCCGACTGTCTTTCTCGAAATCCTCTCCAACTTGAATCGGAAGAAGCATACAATGATGAGGATGATGATATACCCTCAATAACTGCTCTGACGTGCTTCGAGGCTGAACAAAGAAAAGACCCTAAAATTAGTAAATTGATAGAGGAAACAGAAAGATTTGGTGCCGAATAGAAAGGATATGAAATGTTAAAAGGAACCTTATACAAAAAGAATTTCGACCCCCTGGGAAACCAACACCTTTTAGTTATTCCCAAGCACTTACGCTTAGAACTACTGAAAATTTTCCACGACGCTCCCACAGCAGGTCATCTTGGATTTTCGAAGACATATGAGAGAGTTAAAAACAAATATTTCTGGCCAGGACTTCTCCGGGACATACGGAAGTATGTCGCTCATTGTAAAGAGTGCCAAAGAAAGAAACAATCAACTCAAAAGCCACCCGGACTACTTAAGGCCATACCTCCTGCAACCTCCCCTTTTCAGAGAGTTGGAATGGACCTCCTTGGAAGATTTCCCAAGTCTGATACTGGTAATAAATGGATCATAGTCTGTACTGACTATCTTACTCGATTTGCCGTTACTAAAGCCTTACCTACAGGGGAAGCAAAAGAAGCAGCCAAGTTCTTAATGGAAGATGTTGTTCTCAAGCACGGAGCCCCCAGATAAATCATCATGGACCGAGGACGAGTATTCCAATCCAAGTTGATTGCGGAACTCACCAATCAATGCTCGTCGATACATCGGTTCACGACAGCGTATCATCCCCAGACGAATGGACTGACGGAGAAGTTAAACAAAACCTTAGCCAACATGATCGCTATGTATGTAAGTGTTGAACAGAAGGACTGGGACGTAATCCTGCCCTACGTCACGTTCGCCTACAACACGGCAAAACAAGATACGACAGGTTTTTACCCCCTTTGAACTGATTCATGGACGCGAAGCCGAAACAACTGTAGACACTCTTTTCCCAAATCCGCATGAAGATCTCCAAAAGGATTACAGTCAGAAGATTGCCTCGCGAGTCGAAGAGACTAGGCAGCTAGCAAGATTAGAAACCTTGAAAGCCCAAGAAAAGGACAAGGCTAGATATGACTCAAAGCACGAGGCAATGGATTACAACGTCGGTGACCTGGTATGGATTTTCATCCCGATAAGAAAGGTGGGACTCTCAGAAAAACTGATGAAAAGGTACTTCGGGCCATACAGGGTTACTCGGAAACTCTCTGACGTGACCTTCGAAGTTGAAACTGTGAACCAACCAACCAGGAGACGCCAAACAAGAGACCTGGTCCATGTACTGAGAATGAAACCCTACCATGACCCTGAGAACCAAGCTGATCTGTTCAAATGATAATTACAGCGGGACGCTGTTCATCTAGGAAGGGAGCAATGTCACTGAATAATTATTTTAAATATTCTGTTGTATATCATCATAAATATTTGCATAGTCATCACCCCTTACCATGCTTGTATATTATTACTTGTAAATAAAATTTTAGAAATAGTTTGCATTCTATAAATAAATTATTTTTACTTAAACTTTTGTTATACTCGTTATCACTACCGTGACAATATTACTAGTATTTTTAAGTCCAAAGGACGTGTTATAGTGGCTAGGATATCTGGATTTCACCCAGAAGGCTTGAGTTCGATTCTCGGCGTGGGAAGATTAAATAGTCCAAAGGACCTACACTTAAGTCCAGAATACATACACTTCAGGCCATATAATCTTTTTTTTCAGATCTTATGACCTAGATTTTAGGCCAGAATGTGTATACTTAAGAGGAGGGCCTTATGACCCATATTTCAGACCAGAGGACCAACACTTCAGCCCAGGAACCATACAACCTACATTTCAGTTCATATGACCTAACCTTCAGGTCAGAATTCGTACACTTCAGAGAGGTTTATGACCTCTATTTCAGACCAGAGCACTTACACTTCAGCCTAGAAAAGACATACACTTCAACCATATAACCTACATTTCAGTTCATATGACATAGACTTTAAGTCAGAATTCGTACACTTCAGAGAGGCCTTATGGCCTGTATTTCATACCAGAGCACTTACACTTCAGCCCAAAAAAGACATACACTTCAATCATGCAACCAATATTTCAGTTCCTGTGACATAGCCTTCAGGTCAGAATTGGTACACTTTAGAGAGGCCATATGATTTATAATTAAGACCAGATGCTAACATTTAAAGTAAGATGTCATCCCCCACCTATCTGGACCAACCTTTCTATTATAGCAACATTTGAACAGATATTTCAACACAGTGCCTGTAGAGAGAGCTGACATGTAGAAAAGAGGAAGAGAGATAGATAGTAAATTCCCACCCCAAGAACGGCGCGTGCCAGACATGCCAAGGACGTAAGCCTCGCGAGGAGGGATTAGCTTGACGTAGGGCAGATGTCCCGCCGCCCGTCAGCCACGAGGGGTGATGGTTAGGTAGGTGAGTTCCTTTATTCTCTTTGATAGTATCTTCTTCTCAGCCCCCACGTGGACAATGGCTAAACGATCTCCATTCTGTTTGGACGGTCGTTTTATATGTAAATATGGCAAAACACTCGGAATCTCAGGTAAAAAAATTTCAGTCTCTTTTCTCATCACCTTCTGCCCATCGTCAAAAAATCAATTAGTGCTCTAACTGTGTATTTGACAGGTGCTCTTGAATTTATTCAGAACTTTATATTTCTTCTTTTCATGAAATCTTTGAAAATATTATCGTTCCAATTGTATCCAAGTTAAAACTTCCATTGACTTTAATCTTTGTTCCCTCTTAATTCACACATTCCTCATGTCACTAATTGTATAATGGTTATTGTTTTTAAATATATTTTTGAACAGTCTCCTCCTGATATTCATTTCCATTAGCGCTAGAAAATATTTTCTTCTTTTGATTGAATGCATTATCTCTTGAAGTACGAATAGAATGACTAGATTGGCTTTATTAACCATATTTTCTGATTTATATACACATTATATTCTAAGCACGTCAGGATTGACTTGACAAGCACACATGTGAAACTTTTTGTGTAATTTATTGATATTATAATTTGCTTTTGTAGTTGATTCACTAAATATTGGTGTTAAACTTGAAAGACGTCTATAAACTTGAGGAAGTCATCGCTGGTTTTTTTTTTATGTAGAAGAATTTGTAATGATTGGAGTTCAATTGGTTCGATAAGTCCATTGGTACAACCATCGACGTCAGCTGGTATGAAGCAGGAACTTCTAAGGGCCCGGCCAGTATATGAAGTTCTTTAGTAAAATCAAATAAAGTTCGAAATATTGCCATCACAACAACCTTATTCCCAACGCAGTTATTGTCCTATATTCTGATAGATCTACCAATGCAATTTCAAATCCAGACAAAAACGGCCACTGGGAGAGGCGTGATACACTTCCTGCAAGTGCTTCAAACGCTATCAAATCCGGTCTCTTTGCAACAAATTACGTGTTACAACATTTCCTCCGAATAGAGCAAACATTACTATAAATCGTATGAATAAAAATATTTTGAAAGACATTACCGAAGTAGTCGGCAAGGCCAAATTTATTCTATTCTTCAATTCCTAAAAAAAAAAAAGCAAGCTGACTCATATAGAGCAAACCAAACTAAATCGGGTAACAAAGAGAATCCAGTGACACAAAAGCCGGCACACGGAGACACTACCAAATCCGGCCAAGACAACAAATCCCTCGGCACAAATGGAGCCGCACCGGTCAGTCAGTGGCGGAAGTGCCGAGTTGTCACCATCTGGTCAAGGAAGCGCCGGGCAGCCAACCACGTCTCCGGCGACAATCGCCGGGTTATCCCCTCCAATTACCGCGCCGGCCGCGCAGAGACAATGACCAGATGGCAGCGGTTCCATTCGTCTTTATTACCCGGGTATAGCCGATCGGATGTGGGCGGTGCATTACCGTCCCGGGCCCCTCTGCAGAGGGATTACTCATAGGGTTAACTGTCATGCGTTTATACTGTTGAACAACTTTCCCCAGAAATTTTACATCACTGAGAATTGCTAAGGATGTTTTTTGTTATTATATAAATGTTAGAAAACCATTTTAAAAACTATTTTCTAGAAGTATCTAAGATCGTTTCTGTTCTTCAAAAGAGAATCATTCTTGTCTCTGTATCTTACGCTGAATCTTTCAACTCGGTGTGTCCATCACGATCAAATGACTAAAGCCCTGACGCACCAAACCCACGTATCCCTCAACTCAGTCCATCACGGTCAAGTAACCAAAGCCCTGACGCACCAAACCTACGTATCCCTCAACTCAGTCCATCACGGTCAAGTAACCAAAGCCCTGACACACCAAACCCAAACATCCTTCAACTCAGTCCATCACGGTCAAGTAACCAAACCCTGACACATCAAACCAAAACATCCCTCAACTCAGTCCATCACGGTCAAGTAACCAAAGCCCTGACACACCAAACCCAAACATCCCTCAACTCAGTCCAAAACGATCTAGTAACCAAAGCCCTGACGCACCAAACCCAAACATCCCTCAACTCAGTCCAAAACGATCTAGTAACCAAAGCCCTGACGCACCAAACCCAGCCCTAACTATACGTCAACTCTGTCCATCACGGTCAAGTGACCAAAGCCCTGACACATCAAACCCGCTTTAACTATCCCTCAACTCAGTCTATCACAATCTAGTGAACAAAGCTCCGATGCACCAAACCCAGCTAACTTATACGTCAACTCAGTTCATCACGATCTAGTGACCGAAGCTCTGACGCACCAAGCCCAGCTCTAACCCAGTCCATCTCGACAGCCAGACAGACAGACCGACCATCCAGCGTGGAGGGGAGGTTAACGAGGATCGGGTTCACTCCAGTCATCAATCAACTTCAGCCGCAGCAGTAGGAGCGGCGCACGTCATCTGGTAGTTCCCTCCGACATGTAGTTCACATTGACAACTACATTCAACTGCCAATATTCTCTTTACTCTGAGCTGCACATCTCAGCCTATTTAATATAGATGTAAAGTGTGGCTACTATCACACCTTCACATTTTAAAACAAACTTAATTATGTAGAAACAAATGGTAATACCTATATACGCAGCCTCTTGAACAGTCCAATAGCAAGGAAGCAAACAAAAACTCCTGTAATCCAATATAACGACACGCGTTCATGCATTCACATGGTTCAACCGGGATGGAAATAAATCGGTACCAGGCCGGGTCTTGTCAAAAATATACCTGGCCATAATTATTAAACACAAAAGAAAAACAAAAAGAGAGAGAGGTAATGATCCCGAGTTGTTCCGTGAATTCACACTTGTTTCCCGGATAAGAAAACTTCATAAAACTAATCCATCTCTCCCTTACGAGGTATACAGTGGATCATCATGAATCACTACCTTAAATACGCTTTATGGTATTGCCACGTGGAAAATTAGGGAAGACAAAAACTTCAGGAGGAAACAAAATTTATTTCAGGCAAGGACAAACTATCAAAGGTAAACAAAAGATAAGCCACGAGGGAAATTTACAGAGTCGCAAGATATAAAACATAAAAATGACCACTCTGTTAAATAAAAAATAATAAAATTAAGAAATACTATGTTACATAAATAAAATTAATAAATACTATGTTACAGTATTGTAGACAGAGTTTGAGAGAGAGAGAGATAGAGATAACAATAAGCTCTCATCCGGGACCAGCGGGACAGGTCTGGAGTAGAGTGGGAGAACTGATAGGCGCTACTTCAACTCGAGTACTTACCTAGTAGAACTTGCCCTCCTCAGTGTATTTCATCCAGTTGACAATTTTAAGAGCTTTAGCGTTAGACTCTAAATGCTCTCACTTTTCGATATGCACAACATCGTGCATCTTGAGCCCTATGCCTTGAAGTTGACATCGGATACTCACTGGGGAAAGTCTACAGAAATTAGAAAACCTTTATTCTCCATAACAGCTAGCATTCATATATAAACCTCAGAATTACCTAACATGAACTTCTAACAGTTTTCCTGCCTTTCCGCATCGCCCTTAGACTCTCTGCCCAAGAAGGCTTTCTAACACCATCAACAGAACTGTTTAGCTCAGTAGATAGCAAATTTATCGCCTTCTTTTCAACGTATAGGGTTGTTTTATCTTTAAGGAGCTTGAAACCATTTGTTTAAGTCCATTGACCTCGCAACTAAGGTCTACAGTATTCCAATGTTCTGTATCCAAATAAATCTTATTGCAACGTCCCTATACAGGTAGAAATATAATATTTATTTCTCTAAAATGGTGAATACTCAGAATCCTGTCGTAGCCCTTATCCCCGAGTGGTATTAACCAGAAGCTTATCTCTCCCAGCTCGCTGCCGTTCTCATTGTCAACTCTACGGGTGTTAACAACTATGAGTATCTGTTCGTGGCCGGTTACTGAAACGCTATGTATTTTTCTAAGTGCATCGTTCAAATCATCCTTCAATTGCCCATTTTAGAATCAATGATACTGACATGGCTGCCTGTATCATATAAATGTCGTTAATATTCACCTTAACCATTGGCAGATATCCAAGATGATCTCTGCCAAGTGAACTTAGGTTCGTCACATCAGCACTCTCGAGAGTGTTGCGGTTGGCAAATAGGGAAACCCGACTTGAGCAATCCCTGGCTACATGTTCTAACTTGCACTCAGGTGGACT